ATCAAAGTGTTTTGGATGCACAACTATGTCCTGTGTAAACTTTAGCCCGGCTTTGGACAATTAATGTTGAGTGAACCACACATATTATTTATTTAAAAAATGTTTTATAAGGATTAAGGATATTTTTATAATAAAATTGTCTTATTAGTAATGAGTTTTTGTTGGATTACTTATAGTCATTTAAATACTTCTTGGATCATCATGAAACTAAAACCAACAAATTTTCCTTGTTCTACTTAGTCTGGAAAAGTTTACAAATAGTTAATATATTTGTACAGCAGTATTAATATCTAAAAACAATTCTTAATGGACCACATACGACCAGACAGCAAATTTTTAAATCTGATTTTTAAATAACACACTCAATATTCATTGGATCATCTTGAAACCATCACCAAAATGCTTGTCATCATTTCTTACTATAGGATTGTCTATTTAATGTTCATATTTTGTATTTTCCAGTGTTTGAACTTTAAATCAATTTTTCGTGCTTCATATATGGCTGATATGTGAGTGTAAAAAACAGATTGTTGAATAACTTTCTCAATATTTATTGGATCATCATGAAACCATCACCAAAATGCTTGTCATCATTTCTTACAATAGGATTGTCTATTTAATGTTCATCTTATGTATTTTCTAATGTTTGAACTTTAAATCAATTTTTCGTGCTTCATATATGGCTAATATGTGAGTGTAAAAAACAGATTTTTGAATAACACACTCAATATTCATTGGATCATCTTGAAACCATCACCAAAATGCTTGTCATCATTTCTTACAATAGGATTGACTATTTAATGTTCATATTTTGTATTTTCCAGTGTTTGAACTTTAAAGCAAGTTTTCGTGCTTCATATATGGCTGATATGTGAGTGTAAAAAACAGATTGTTTAATAACTTTCTCAATATTCATTGGATCATCTTGAAACCATCACCAAAATGCTTGTCATCATTTCTTACAATAGGATTGACTATTTACTGTTCATATTTTGTATTTTCCAGTGTTTGAAATTTAAATCAATTTTTCGTGCTTCATATATGGCTGATATGTGAGTGTAAAAAACAGATTGTTGAATAACTTTCTCAATATTTATTGGATCATCTTGAAACCATCACCAAAATGCTTGTCATCATTTCTTACAATAGGATTGTCTATTTAATGTTCATCTTATGTATTTTCTATTGTTTGAACTTTAAATCAATATTTCGCGCTTCATATATGGCTGATATGTGAGTGTAAAAAACAGATTGTTGAATAACTTTCTCAATATTTATTGGATCATCATGAAACCATCACCAAAATGCTTGTCATCATTTCTTACAATAGGATTGTCTATTTAATGTTCATCTTATGTATTTTCTAATGTTTGAACTTTAAATCAATTTTTCGTGCTTCATATATGGCTGATATGTGAATGTAAAAATCAGATTGTTGAATAACACACTCAATATTCATTGGATCATCTTGAAACCATCACCAAAATGCTTGTCATCATTTCTTACAATAGGATTGACTAATTAATGTTCATATTTTGTATTTTCCAGTGTTTGAACTTTAAATCAATTTTTCGTTCTTCATATATGGCTGATATGTGAGTGTAAAAATCAGATTGTTTAATAACTTTCTCAATATTCATTGGATCATCTTGAAACCATCACCAAAATGCTTGTCATCATTTCTTACAATAGGATTGACTATTTAATGTTCATATTATGTATTTTTCAGTGTTTGAACTTTAAATCATATTTTCGTTCTATGTATATGGGTTATATGTTATGAGTGTAAAACACTGGATTTTGAATAACACACTCAATATTCATTGGATCATCTTGAAACCATCACCAAAATGCTTGTCATCATTTCTTACAATAGGATTGACTATTTAATGTTCATATTTTGTATTTTCCAGTGTTTGAACTTTAAAGCAAGTTTTCGTTCTTCATATATGGCTGATATGTGAGTGTAAAAAACAGATTGTTGAATAACTCTCTCAATACTCATTGGATCTTCTGGAAAATTTCACCAATGTAGTTTTTATCACTTTTTACATTTTTGTTTTCTACTTAATGTTTGTTTTATGTCTTTAAACAGTTTCAAAAAATGTTTGGATAGATAATAGGTGTTGTTATATTTTATTTCGATTGATAATAATATGTAGTCTACTCGTAGGTTAACAACTTCAAAATGTTATTAAATTTTTTGAATATTAAGGATTCTTTTTGTTTGTTAAGCTGTGATTTAAAAATAGCGTTTTCAAAAGAATCAAATTGAAGAATAATCAATTTCCAAATGAAATGTTGCGTCATAATATATCCAGCAAATATACAAAAAGGTAATATTTATTGATATTTTATATATTATTGTCCTTATGTGTGCTTTTTAATTGATGTTGCCTTTGTGAGATCAGCTTACTTTTCCCCGTGAGTTTTAATTGGGTAGAAGGTAATCTGATTTCATAGAGTAAACATTTAAATTCTTCGAAGAAAAACTAAATTCTCTACTAACAGGGATCACATTTATCGTCGAATATACAAAAGTATGAACACTTTATAATAAGATAATATGTTTTTTTTTTTTTTTTGTGTAAGAATAATCTAATCATAAAACGAAATGTTTATTCAAAAATGTATAAGTATTCTTTATAAAACAACATATTTTGTGTTGTTAAAATTATTTTTCATTTTAGGATAATAGATTTTGTACATACAAATATCAGATCAAAGTATATTGGATGCACAACTAGGTTTTATATAAACGTTAGCCTGGCTTTAGATAATTAATGTTGAGTAAACTACACATTTTATTTATTTGAAAAATGTTTTATAAGTATTAAGCATATTTTTATAATAATAAAATTGTCTTATTAGTAATAAGTTTTTGTTAGATTACTTATAGACCATTGAATACTACTTGGATCATCATGGAACTAAAACCAACAAGGTTTCCTTGTTCTACTTAGTCTGGAAATGTTTACAAATAGTTCAATTTATTTGTACAGCAGTATTTAATATCTATAAACAATTCTTCATGCAACATATATGACACGATGACATATTTTTGAAACTGATTGCTGAATAACACTCATTATTCATTGGATCATCTTGAAACCACCACCAAAATACTCATCATCATTTCTTACAATAAGATTTTCTACTTATTGTTTATATTATGTATTTTTCTTGTGTTTTAAATTATATTATTATTAAAATTATATGTATTTTCAATATATAATGATGATATATTATTATGTATTTATTTAATATAGTTTACATTGTATTAATTACAAGTTATTGACGTAGACTATTGGAATATACCTAATTAATAAAGACTCCTTATTATCAAATATAATTTTAGTTTTTAAATTACAATTGAGTTTCGTGCATAGAATTTTTAGTTATCAACATTACAAGGTTTTGTCACATCAATATGATGTCAATATTCTACTAGAGATTTGTACACAATGGTTGATGTATACAGTGATATTTTTGATTGCATTCTATTGGTTTTTAATGGACATACTAAATTTTGTTCAAGAATTCTACTTTAAAAACTATCAAATAAATTTTTTTTTCTTCTTTATTTTATTAAAATAAAAAAAAATTATTTTTAATTTTCCTTCAGATTTCATTGTCTATTGGAAGTTATGATAGAGTATTTTGTGTTAGCATTAAATGGTCAGCTTTAGTGTTAGAATGCAGAATCAGACAGGTGCCATGTGATGCAGTTTTGATTGATTTTATTCTACTAATTATTAATAATTATTAATATATATATATCATTGATTTTAATTATTTTAAGATATTTAGTTATTAGATTTAGTGTTATATTTTAGTTTAATTCAAATACTCAAAACATATTTTTGAAATATCAATCAAAAACAACTTAGATATTTTGATCTACTAAATATTTGTAAATAGTTTATGTATTGCTTGATAAGACAATTTGAATATAATCATTGTGTAAATTACTGTTTTAATTTTGTCTTTAATTAAATCTAGACAATCTAGTTGTGATTATATCATCCACAAAAAGTTTTATATTTTGTACAGGTTAATCGAGCATAATTAGAATGCATATGTAATGCAAAATAATATTAAAATATTCATACATTCAATAGAAATATATTAAACTATTATACATACTAAAATACAAATTTTTATAGAATAATAATTTCTTTAGTTTTTAAGTGTTTATTTAAACAAATACAAATGAATTAATAAATTACATAATTTTTATGTGCTCATTTAAATATCATTGATTATTTAATATTTTTAAATCCATTTTTCACTAAGTGAGATTATTATTAATTACTTATGAAGAAGTAGAGGGAGCACCATAAGCACGTGTAGACTTCGATTTCCAGTCGAGCCTAGAAGAATTAATGCTCTAATACTTGGACAATGCTCCTAATTCTTTTTTTTTTTTACACATTAACCTACACTCTAATTGTAAATTGATTCAATTTGTATGTGACACAACATTAATGTGATAATATTTAGATATATATTTTTGAAGTTAAAAATTAAATGATATAAATATAATTATGCATAAAAAGAAGAAAACACAGTACCCAAAATTTAAAAAACTTGGTTTAAGTAACATAAGTCAAATATATATAATATTATGATATATAAACTTAATATATTAACATTTTTTTATAATTTTTTGTTAAAAATTATTTTTAGAATGTGCTTGAATGTGTCTATTCAAAACAAATCTTAATTTGAACAGTTTTCCACAAAACTTACATCCAAACTTCTTTGTTTTTGTACTCATTTGTATGTGTTCTTTCAAGTGATTTTTCAAAAGATATTTTAAAGGAAAACTTTTTATGCAATATTTGCAGTGAAACATTGTTGTAATTGTCTTTTCATTATTCAAAATAATATAATCAGGTACATCCTGTGAAAAAAAAAATATATAAATATGAATTTACAATTAAAGGTATAGGTATTCTTGTTATATGTGGTCCACTACTAGCACTTTATACACTTTTAACGTGTTGTATATGATCAACCAAAATATCTATAATGTATCTTTTTATATATTAACTGATCGTACCTAACTAATAAAATCTATTCTCGTTTGATAAAACTAGGACTTATATTTATTAGTTATTATTAGAGCTCGGATGTTGTAGAAGTTACTTATTGTTCAATATGCTCTCAATTTATAGTATACCAAATTAAAAAATTCAAACTATATAATGGTAAGTTTAAAAATCAAAAATTTAATATGTATATATTTCATATTTTGTCAATTTTTGAGGAAAAGTGTATATTTTATTAATTTATTAACAATAATTTAATGTGCTTCATTTAATTAATATCACAGTAATATAGTGAAATATTTTCTTATCATTATTAACTTAACTAACTGTAAATCTATTTATTGTTTATTCGTTAGTGGATGTGTTATTCAGAATTTTGAATTATTTTAACATATTTAACATTTTTTCATGTATATTTCACAATTCTTTTATGCCTATTTTTCCCGTTTAAGCTATTATTAACTTCTGAACAATAGTTTTATTATTAGTCTTAAGCCAATTTAAAACGACAATTACTTATTATAAATTAGTAAAATTCATATTTTTGATAAATTTTTTACAAATTTATGTTAATTTACAAATATTTATGTTAGCCAAAAAAAGGTTTGTTTAATTTTTCAGTTGGAGGAAACTGCACTGTCATTATTTAAAGAAAAATAACTTATTTTAATTGATATTAACCTTTCTCCATGTACGAGTTGTGTGTATAAAATTAAAATTACACACGCAAAACAAGATGAAATAACCAGAAAACTATTTGTAGTAAATAGAAAGATTTCCATAACATACAATCACAATCCATCATTATGCTTTTTTCATCTCCAAAAATTATTAAAATGGCCTATATAACAATAGTTATCTCCATAGAAAATTTTTAAACTAGCATATCATAAATTTCTTCATGTACTTCAAATTATTACAGGCAAATTAAAAGGATATCAATTCATCCAATCATAGATCATATGAATTATGTCTTAATATTAAAAAGCAGCCTTTATAAAAAGAGAAATTGACAACAATAATATTTATGTTCCAAGCAGATTAGGGTTTAATTGGTGGAAAAGAAAGTATAATTGATTGTGGATAAAACAAATGACATCATAAATACCAAAGATTTAAATGATTTGGATGATTATGAATTTAACGATGACATTTATATATGACATATTAGTATTTATTGCATTAATATTATCTTGTTATTTAGCATTTGTTAAAAAATGATAACAGTGTTATTAAATTAAGATATTTTGATATAAAGAAAATAAGAGTTAAATGTTGTATAAAATTATTGAAAGTGAAGAAGTAATCAGACCAAAATAAATTCTAATTAATGGTTTGTGTAAAAGAGATTGAATTTAAAAGTTAACATTAATAAGATTATGAATCATTCTAAAAATTTTATGAATCTATTTAAAGAATAATGCTTAATGAATATAAAGTTAATGGAATCATTGAAATTACAAATAGTAATAAAAAAAAATTTATGGAACATAAACCGATTTAACTGCCAATAATATATCACTAAATAATCTAAAAAAATACTAACATAGATTATGATAGAAACATTCAAGTGAAGAAAAACATCATGTTACTAATAGTTAAAAATGCAATTTAAAGTAATTAAAATATACTAATTATACTAATGCACAATTAATATAGGTATATAGGAATGAGTAGAAGACAACATATAACCTAAATGTTATGAAGTGGTAAACAACATAAACTGCATACAGCACACAGAAACATGAGATATATAATAAAAGAAAAAAATACTGTAAATCTTATATTACCAGACATTCTATAGGAATTTCGATTGTACTTTCCCACTTAAAATCATCAAACACATCAATTTCAGTCTTAATAAATTTAAGGACATTTTTAGTTGTCATTAGTGCTTGATTATCTTCAACTGCAGAATTTGAGTTTTCAACACATGACTTACTAAACAATTTTCAAATTTAATTAATTCATAATATTAATAAATTAAAAAGATGAGAAATCAATATAAAGATTTTAACTATGTAAAAATACCTTTTGACAGCTTCAGCATCTCCTGTGATTTTATCTTTAATGTCTTTTATTAAAGCCATTTAAGAATATTCTGAAAATCAAAATATAATTATTAATAACATTTATTTTTTATAATATACATTTATACAATTGCTGATAATATTTATTTTAACAATTAATCCAGAATGATATCTTCTGATTTGATAAAATGTATATTTTATATAAAGTTAAATAAATAAAAATATGTGAATATAGGAAAAATTAAAGGAAACTTACAAGCTTTTTAAAATGTAACAAATAAAAAAAGTTTAATGGAACTAGTAAAAGCAAATACATATTTTTACCAATCCTTAAGGTAAATTGTATAATGAAGGTTAATTAGTTAATAATAAATAAATTATACTTGTAAGACCATTATTATATCGCCTTATGTTAAACCTTACTAAAACATATATATCACAAGGGAGATATTTCAAGTTTATCTTGCCATCCTCCGTTCCTCCTTATATAATGGCTATAAAATTATTTTGTTACAGAGAGAGATGAGGCTAATTTTTATTATGTACAAAGTAATTAAAAACTTAATTTAAGTATTTTTTAATTAAAAATATTAAGTAGTAAGTTAATTTATAGGAAACAATTAAATCATAACTAAAATAGCACCCAAATAAATATTTTTTTTATTTGATAATTTATCTAATACTTTGCTTGGGGTTATATTTATAATTCCATAATAAATACAATAACTACACAATTTATAGTTATTAAAGTTTCATACTAACATTTAAACATATTTCAACTACAAAAAAAAAAATTTAAAAATGTTATACTTTGTAATATAAATGTCTTATGTGTGTACTATAATTTAATAATTATTTTATTTATACTAGTAAAATTGATAAATATAGTAATTATCTCCACTCCAGATATTAATGTTTTTATAATAAGAAAAAAAAGTTGTGAATAAATATTTATTTTATCAAATTGTATGTATAAAAATATTATTTTCTTTTTGAAAATAAATAATTAAAAAAATAAATATGACAGGGGGTTATTTCTCCTGGTCTGGATACACAATACTGTAGCTCAGTAAATTTACAGTACAATCAATTAATAATAATGTAAGTTACCTATACATTATAGTGTAAAACTAGATACTTCTAGTTATTACCTATAATATAATAATGTACAACAAACAGTGAGCTATAGTATGCTTCAAAGTTCTAGCCTATATGCTACTGCTAGTAATCAGTATATATTACTACATGTTTACATATTATAACTTATTTTGTTCACAAACAGTGCACTTCAACGGTAAGTTATTTAAAATTATGATCATGTTAAATTTTTTATTATGTTCAGATTTTATGCAAATTCTGTAGTGTACATCAGGGGTGGGTAAATCAAAATTACTAAAGGGCCAATTTTTAGAAAATTAAAAATCTAGTGGGCCAGAGCATAGAAAGCAAAACAAAAAATAAAGATAATTTAAAATATGCTTTTTAATTAGCATTTATTTATTTAAATTTTTAACATAAAAAGAATTGTATGATGTAATTTGAAAATATAGCACGGGTCAAATGAAAAAAATCTCGCGGGTCACCAATTACCGCCCACCCCTGATATAAGTTATTGGATTGAATGCAATTGGACATCAAGACAAAAACAAAAAGATATTTATTTATTTATTTATTTATTTATTTATTTATTTATTAGTTGATGGAGCTTGATCGCATACATCTCAGTAAAAAAATTAATTACCACGAAGCACTTCGTTTGTATATTCGCGTACGTACCTGTTTTACTACCAGATCTCCTAATTTTGGAAACAAGTTTCGGAATTTTTAATTAACTCGAAGCTTAGTGATCGAACTGAAAGCTACTAAAAATGACGCGGACACTTCTCGAACGAGTAGGTACACTTAATTAACAACTCGCTACATATTACGTAAAACTGTTGTTTATACTGTTTATGGGTAATGAATAATGATAATACACATTTATTACCGGTAACAGGACGCTATAATATACGATAACGGCCTCAATAATGTACAGCCATGGTTACAGATGTTGGGTTGTAATTTGTAAATGGTCACGGATCGTATTGTGTATTGTTGTTTTACCCTGGTGGAGCCACATTGCAACAGCCGGCACAGCGAATCATTAATTATTCAATAATCAATACAATAAAATTATTACTTGTAGAGTCGCAGCAATGATGTGCGCATGCGTGAAAAGTAAATCCTCGCATGTTTACCCATGGAATAAAGATGGATAATCAGTTAAACCGTGTTTTTAATTTCGTCGATAATATAAAACCAAAGTCCGCGTATAAAACGAATTATTATTCGTTAGTTTGTTATGTTTTTATGGTACAAATTCTATAGAGATTTCTATTAAACGTGTTTATCTATATATCAGAACTAACTATGTCTATATATATAGTTAGCCTTGGGCTAAACGGCGATTGGTGCATGGAAATTCTCTACGTAAACTATATAGACGTAATATATTTTTAACCGGATAAAATCTTACAATATAATTACACAAACGCCAGACCGGCGGAAAAAAATATACGATGCTAGACGATGATACACCGTTAACTTTTTTTCTTTTTCGAATAGACGAATATTCAAGAAAAATATGTAGAATCATTAATCAACCACATACCTTGAGCACATTCAGACAATTCTGAAATATGTTAACATGGAAAAATCATTCGAATATCATCATTCATCACTCACGATGGATATGTGTAAAACATATCTGTGATTTAAAATTAAATTATGTTCCGTGTTACATAATATTATATTTTTCAATGTTAAAATGATTAATATTATTATACTGCTAAGCATTCTGTTAACTCAACGAGAGATAATACGTTATACTAGACATAATAACCGTGATTGTATAATATTATTAAAGATGTGTATATTATTTTTCACACACGGACTTCGGACTTCGGAGTGAATAAAAGAAAATATGATATGCAAGTGGATATTGGATACCGTTCTACGGCACACTTAGTGTCAAGCGAATCATTGTTATGGATGTGTTAAATTAAATGCAATGATGTGGCATTGTTCATGAACATTATTTTAAGCATAGACAAACTGTCAGCCTAGTTAACTAAGTATTTTAATGATATATTCTTTGTTATAGTTAATTTTTATTGTTTATTTATTTTACTTTCAGTATTACAGTAGGTTGATAGTTTGAGAATTAATTTTTAAATGTTAAATCAATCACCTATAAATACATAATATGGCTTTGATTGAGCTAGATAAGTAACTTTTAACATATAAATATAATTTCAGTTGTAAGTGATATGAAAATTATTTTAAAATCAAATCAACAAAAATATCAATATTAGAAATAGTGAAAGAAAATAGATAATAACAAAAATGTTAACCAAAATTTATATTTGGATACATGATTGATTTTATTGTTTTTAAAATTTTTTACAAATTAACAAGATTTGATATTTTTCCAAGAATATTGAACTATGAATGATATGAAAGAAACATTCATTGTCAATTCAACAAAAAAAAATTAATATTCTTTAGGATTTTTATTATTTTTGCTTACCCAATTTTAGATTTTATATTCAAACATAACTGTCTATTCATTACAATTATAAAGCTGGACTTTTTGCTTCTTTGTGAGTATTCTTGAGTTGAATAAATTGTCCTAGGTATAAAACACTTGTTACCCATTTGAATCCTCTTTATTGGTATCTCATATTCCATATTGTTTGATTAGCAGGGGTGTAGCAAAGTCATTTTTTTAGGAGAGCCACCAAGTACATTTGGTTGACTGATTTAATGAAAAAAAAAAAATGTACATACATGTATAAATTGAAGGGCCCAGTGCAACAATCTGGTATGTCCACTTTTGAAAAATGTTCAGTAGAAGAAAAAATTATCTAGTCATTAATATTTATGTCATAAAATTTTTGTTTTATTGAAAATATGAAGCATTCCTCTTCTTTTATTGATATTATGTACTCAGGTATTTTAGTTATTATAATTATTAATATTATTAACATTAAATATAGTAAAATTATGGACTTGCCTTATTTTATGCTCATAATTTTTATTTTTATAATTTTTAGTATAAGAAAAAATAATATTTAAGTCATTATTACTTTTGAGAAATTAAATATTTTTATTAAAAACATGTAGCATTTCTCTTTAGGTATTAATAAAATGTTTGAAATTAGTTTTCAATGACCTGAACAATAAAATAAATTATGGACATCTAACTAATATTGTTTACTTTAAATGTATAAAATAAGAGACAACTTTTTGAATCGCAATATATATTATATTTATTACTTAAAACAATAAATAAAGAATAATGTACTTAATAAAATATATTGAAATAATAATGTTTTAAGTTTTAAATTAATATGAACAGCCTTATTAATTTCAATACAAATATAAGAAACTAGTTTAGTTATAATAATGTTTAAATAAATGTCACTCAGTTTCACATAAATAATAAAACAAAATATATAAAAGATATTGATAAATCTACTTTGGTTTATAATGCAGTTAATAATATAATACTATTAATAATAATAATAAGTCCTATAGGTATTAACAGTCTTTTAAATTTTCAATATTACCAATAGTAATACTTGAAAATGCTTGATACACCTCTAAATACGGGATTACGTTACGCACTAGGTGCCTTCAAATCCAGTCCCATTGAAAGCTTGAGAAACTTAGCTAACGAGTTATCACCCGATTTAAGAAGAACATACAACACTCTTCTATATACAGCCAGATCACTCATAAATATCGAAAACCCTTCAAATAAATATCTAGCCAAAAACATAATAAAAGCTGAAGAATATCACATAGACTTAAAACATCTAGCAAGAACAAAACCCCCGTGTTTCCCCCCGTGGAAAACGTATTTTGACATAAACCTAGAAATTTCCGAATTCAAAAAAGAAAACACCAGTCCTATTATGTACAGAAACGTCTTTCAAAACACATTACAAAAATACCCCAACTACAAACATATCTACACCGATGCATCAAAAACAGACCAAAACGTTGGAATATCTATAATAACGGAAAACTCCTCCTCCTCCTACAAACTTCCCACTGTATGTTCTATTTACACAGCCGAAGCATTATCCATATATAAAGCATTACAAAATATAATCATAAATAAAGAAACGTCACACAATAAATATTTAATTCTTAGTGACTCGCTTAGCAGCTTAACTGGCATTAATAACTTTACAAATCCATCAGATATATCTAAACTTATCCAAGAAAAAACCTATGAAGTAAGTCAAAAAGGAATAGAAATAGCCTTCTTATGGATACCTGGACACTGTGGAATTGATGGAAATGAATTGGCAGATCAAGAAGCATCTAAAGCAGCTTCATCTACTGACACTCATATGCTAAATTTTAGTACTTATAAAGATTCTAAAAAACTTATACAGATGACCCTATTTCATAAATGGCAAAATCACTGGTCAAAACAAAACACCAAATTAAACACAATAAAAAATAATATCCAAGTATGGAGAAACCCCGGTTTAAAGAGGAAAGACGAAACTATTATAAATCGTCTCCGTATTGGGCATACCTTCGCAACACACAACCACCTCATGGCTAGAAAAGACCCTCCCATATGCGAAACATGCGGAGTGGTGGTCACTGTCAAACATATAATCATTGATTGTTCCATGTACGTAGACTCAAGATCCAAACACTCCATTCCATATCAACTTAGTGAAGCCTTACAGCCAGACCTTCAATCAAATATCAACATAATCAACTTCTTAAAGGAAATCAAACTGTACAACCTAATTTAAGAATTTTTATATCAATTGTAAAACCTTAAAAATAAAAAAAAATAAAATAATGTATTACTATAACTAATGGCCACGTAGCCGATGTTTCTTTTTGTTCAATAAAAAAAAAAAAAAAAAAAAAATAGTAACATTTTAGTTAATATTAGGTTTTTAAAATGATCACAAAGTTTCTTATAAATAATAAAACAAAATATTTTATAAAAGATATTGATAAACCTACCTTGGTTTATAACATAGTTAAAAATTAAAAATCGTTTCTTTTAAAATATGATAAAAAATATTAAAAAACCTACTTTGGTTTATTCATAGTTATTAATATTATGATTAGAAAAACAAGTATAATATAAATGTAGGTATTACTATTAGTTATTATTCAGAGTCAGATATATTTTCATTAGGAATATCTTGAATTTGAAGATTGTTATAAAACCATTGATGTTCATTCGGAATATACTTTGCTGCTAACTGCTGTACATCATTATATTTAGCATGCTTTAATTTTATTGGCCCATTATACAATGTATGAATAATACTTTGATTTAATATCAATTTTTGGCCAACTTTTTCAAGTGTACATTGTTCTTTGGCAGTTGAATTTCCTGAAATGCTGCAGAATATACCCTCATTTTTATATTCAACAAATCTGTATGACATAATTGAAAATTTTACTTTATTTTTGTTGGTAATTATTTTTTTACATAAAGGCACAAGGTAATCGTTGAAGTTATATATCATATCTTGTGTAACATGAATAACATTATAATTTTTACTGGTGTTTTTTACTATATTTTTATAATCTGTTGGTAAGTAAACTCTTTCTATTTTCCGTCTCACTTTTTCAATATGTGCAAAACACCTATCACATACTAAAAAGCTGTGACTGGGTTCAGGATATCGATGCACAATATGCTTAATATTGTTTGTTGGTGTGTTTACCAGAGCTGATAAGTAAGCAAATAATAATTTATTCTTGTATTGCGCACTACAGTTATCACTAAACAAGTATACCGTCTGGACACTTGGGCCTAAAATGTTATGAAAATAATAGTTTAGAAAACTTATTACTTCATTCTGACCTTTTTTTGCAGTACTTTCATCATACATAAAATAGTATGATTTGCCTGTTTTTGCAGAGTATATAGAAAAATTAAATGACCATAGTTGGCGTTTATAGAAAACATCCCCGGATGGAACATGGGGCAAAGGCATATTCTGTTGATAATCGAAAGATAATAACTATAGTTTCTTGTTCTTTGGCTTCAATTGAATATCTTTTCATGTCTGTATAAAAAATTTCAGCTTTACGTAGATGT